AGTATGGCGAGGAGCCCCTAGTAGCTTCTTGTTCCTAGTAGTATGGCGAGGAGCCCCTAGTAGCTTCTTGATCCTAGTTGTAAGGCCAGAGCTCCTAGTAGCTTCTTGTTCCTAGTAGTAAGGCCAGAAGCCCCTAGTAGCTTCTTGATCCTAGTTGTAAGGCCAGAAGCTCCTAGTAGCTTCTTGTTCCTAGTAGTAAGGCCAGGATCCCCTAGTAGCTTCTTGTTCCTAGTAGTAAGGCCAGGAGCCCCTAGTAGCTTCTTGCTCCTAGTCCTAGTAGTTTGGCCAGGAGCCCAGTAGCTTCTTGCTCCTAGTAGCGATGCCGATGCCCTTCCTCCTAGTAGCGTCGTTTCGTTACTAGTCTAAGACAAAGCGGCCAATTCAGGTTGATATGCAATAATGAGCATGTGGTTCCGGCTTGGAAGATGCGAAAGGAACACATAGATCCCAGACGGGAAGCGCTTTGACTTGCCATAGCAAGTCCAAATTGTGTGGCACGACCCAAATTAAATTTACATTATCTAACAGCAGCTAGCTAATCATACTTTCTTGTGCAAACATGGACACAACGTGGCTTGTATTTTGCAACAGAAGCTCAGCTTGCTTCAGCTTGCTTCTAAATCGAACACGTGCACCTATTCTAGATACTTCACAGCATCATACTGCACGTTGGAACGCTTTCTTTCCAGACCGAGATTGGGGAGTGCCGCAGAGAGCGATCTTAGTGATGTCCTGCCCGGGATTCCCGGTGCCAGCTAGTGATCTTACCCTCTCTTAAAAAGATCGGGTGAATGGTGCCCAGCGTGGGTGTCATCAGAAGAATCAGAACCACAGATGCCGTCGTCCCCATATTTCATATCATGAAGAAACGACAATTGCGCTTTGCGCTCTTGCATTTAGTCATGGGACGGTCATGACTTTGTTTCAGACTCGCTGCTCTTACCAGGTTGCCACACTTGCCTCAGCAAGATGTTGATGTAAAGACTCTGTCGAGATCCAAGAGTTTCTATATTGTTCGAAAAAGGACCGCTCCTGCAGAACTCAGTTTTGTAAACAAGTCAGACTTGTTGGACATTGCTCTTCTACCTGATCTGCGAAAACAGCACTGTCCTTTCCTCTGATGCACCCACTGTCTTTGGCGCCGCAAAGTCAGCAAAGAGGGAGGAAGCGAGGAGAAATCATTTGAGAGTGATATGCCCGCAGTGATGTCAGTTGTGGCACTCCCAAACAATCGAAGATTGCATGCGTAGAAAGACATCACCACCATCATTTTGAATGCGCTTCCTCTACTTTCGCTAAAAGTCTTAAGTTTGCTCAGCCATTCAAAAGCCTTCTTCTTGGCTCATACCAAGCAAGAGGTAGATGACCTGGGGGTGATCAAAGACAGAATGGCTAAGGCCAAGATTGAACCAGCCTACAACAGTGTCCATGCCCCAGAATGGACAGTTATATATAGAAGTAGTTAGAAGTTATACTATAATTATCATAGACGTTGTATATACATATATGCATCTATACATGTATATATATATATAAATAAATTACAAAGGAGTTAAGTAGT